GGCTTGAAATGTCATTGTGTGATTCTCTGTCCACTTCTTATGCTTTTATTTTGTAACCTGAACAACTATTTCTGAGATGACAATATGTAATTTATCAACTAATGATTTATTTTTTTTTGATATTCTGTAATATTTCTACTCTTTTTTCTGTTTTTCTTTTTAGTCTAAATAAAAAAAGAAAAATGTTTATCTAAAAGTGTTACTACCCTAGAAGTTTCATGCTTAAGTAATGAATATGATTTACAGTCATATCCAAGTGAATACCTCTCAGCACTACAACCAAGTATTTAGAACAAAAAAACCACAAACAAACAAGAACCACAGAGCATTGGATGTCATTTCTTTCTCATGCCCAATTGGATTAACAAGGTCTTCATTTTATGCAGTTCTTTCCCTCATGGGGTCTCAGTCTCTTTGAGTGACTTGTCCTCCACTGAATGGAGGTGAAAGAGCAGGAAAAAATGTATCGAATATGGAGAGACACACCCAACCCACTTTTTACTGGGAAATATATACACCCCTACTGTTCTTATAGGCTTGGGTAGAACCTAGGCACATGGCCCTATCTCCTTTACAAAGACATGTAGTTTAGAGTTGTGTCTTGTCTTAGTTACCTTTTACTCGTTGCTGAGACAAAATACCTGAAGCCCAAAACTGGGAAAGGAAAGGTTTATTTCTTACTGTTTTTGGAGGTTTCAATCCATACTCAGTTGGCTCCAAGCAGGGTGGCATGGCTGGGCCACAGTACATGGCAGCGGCAAACAGCAAGGCAGAAACTGGCAAAAGAGAGACATACCTTTTTCCTGCCATTACATTACATCCTGGCTCCACCCCTAGGCCAGTGTAGCACTCACACCTCAAATCCAAGCACTAGACAATGAACCAATCACAAATGCACAATGCAAATGCATGAGACCTGGGGGCCACCAACATAAACCATGACATGTCCAGAAGAAAACACAGATTTCAGTGAACTTTTCATAGTTACCCACAGTGTACACTGCTGGTCCACAAACAGCACTTACTTCTCTTGTGTCGTAGGCAGAACTCAACTCCTTTAAGAAGAAACTCCTATTCTGCTCAAAAATCTAGGCCTCAGAGTGACATAGAATTTTCCACATCATGTCTTTTTATGAATGCTATTGGTTTAGCATATTGAAAGACATACGTGAAACATTTCTTCCTGCTACTCAACATTCAATGATGGTGCACATTCAGGAGAACTGGGTTGAAATTAACTCACCAAAGGAAAATAGCACAGCATAAAAGTTATTTTCTGGGCTTTAGCATTCTGAAATTCACTCAGGAAAGCATTATAAAGCCACACATATACACCAACCCTCCTGCTGCCAAGATCCCCAGAAGCATTTAGGGGTTTGCTTGTTTGTGTGTTTGTTTTTGTTGTTTTATCTTTGTACTGGAAATTGAACCTACCACTTGCCAGGCAGGTGCTGTACTCCCAGCTTTTCTTGTTGCTAACACAAACAGACAGACATCAAAAGTTAAAGAAAGAAAGGTTGATTTCAGCACACAATTTGTAGTTTTCAGTCCACAGTTGGCTGGTTCCAATGCAGGGCGGCAAAGCAGAGGAACACCATATAGGAGAAAGAATCCATGTAATAGCAGAAAGCAGTAAGCAGCGAGCAGCAAGGAACCACCCTGCCTTTGCATTTTATCCCATCCAGGATAATAACCTTCTGGGTGGTGTCATTAGAACTGTGCTAATTCAAATCAGTGGACTAACTTAGTACCACAAAACCTTGAACCCAGTATCATATGCCCTGGATACAGCCAGTTCTGAAAAGACACACTTGATACACTTCTGAAGGCATGAGACCTTGGGGGAATATCTAGGTACAGGTCATAGAAATATTTGAGGTCTATCCATCACTCTTCTTGGCTAAATAAAATTCTAAAGTTTTGTACATATTTATGATCTATGATGTGATATTTCTTTTTTATGTAACATTTCAATATATGTACACATTGAATAATGTTGAAGTCAGGGAAAGCATATCTAACACCCAATCCCAGAATATTTGTCATTTTTTGTTAAAAATACTGAACATTATTTCTACTATGTTTTAATATACCATATATTATTATCTACAGTCACCCTACTATACTATAGAACACTAAATTCTATTTTTCCAGTATCTAATGAATTGCTTTGTAACCATCGTCTCCTTGTTCTCTCCCCATTTCTAGCTATGATACTGAGCCTCTGATAATTACTATACTACTATCAACTTCTATGGGATTGACATTTTAAATTCTAAAGAAATAATGCAGCACTGGTCTTACTATTCTTTCTTTCATTTACTTCACATAATGTCCTCCAGGTCTATCTGTGTTTTAAGCATGAGAAGTCTCATTCTTATGACCAAATAGTATTGTGGTGTATGTGCCACATATTATTTGATCATGAGTTCATGGATACTTAGGTGGAGAATATTTTGAAAAGCAAATTATAAAATAATAATATTTTTTAATTATACTAGCAAAATTTAATATTATGAGTAATGTTATAGGCACAGTGCTAATTTGTTTTGCAAATACTCTTGCTTGTGAACAATTTGACAAAGCTATGTTTTTGCTTGCAAACTCTACATTAGATAACAATCACATTCTCAGCTATCTATCTTACACAAACATAAATGAACCTTCTTTCCCAGAATCATGGAATGAATTCAGGAACCAATATAGTACATGTTTCTTAGCATATGATGCTAAACAAAGATCATCATGCATACATATGTATTCATTAAGTTTGAATATTTTCCATGTTATTCACATAATATTTTTTAATGTTCTCAATAATTATACTTTATATACATTTTGTAATTTATCTAAGTTTATGTAAAGATGATGGAGAACAAGTGTTAAATTTGGAAATAAAAGCAGAGGGCAGTAAGCCAAAGGAGTGTGCAGCTGCTATTACCCTGAGAATAACAAAAATGTTTTACAACAATTCCTGTTTCTTTATATGCATTTCACACATTTATCACTGTAAAATCTTGATTCATAGGGATGATTCTATTCATAGTAGTAAAACATGAGGTAAACTAAGGAAGAATTAGACAGAAATAAAAACAAAACTTGTTCTTGTCATTCTTCATGTAGTAATGACTCATAAATTTCTTTGTAAATTAGGAAGCAGAAGTACAACTGAATCAAGCACTACTGGGTGACAGTAGGTTATGAAACATAGTTTGCTCAATATGTCTGATAACCATAGATGACAGATAGGTAGGTAGATAGATAGATAGATAGATAGATAGTTAGATGATAGAAGATTAGTGCAAGTGGTACTCTGTGTGTGTGTGTGTGTGTGTGTGTGTGTGTGTGTGTGTGTGTGTGTGTGTAAGTAAGCTGTGAGTATGCTGTATTCCTGTCTTGGTTTTCAATGTCCGAAGTGAGAGAAGCATCAGTTGTGTATCATACTCCATCACCAGAAACTCCTCACATAGCTAATCTGTAAATAACTGGATGTTTGAATTTACCATGTGAAACTGTGACATGACCAGGGCTGCCTTCAATGCAGTCATTCAGTCCATTTGAATGGGAAATATAAGGAAGAGTATCAACGTGTAAGAAAACTGTGTTATCTGACACTATAATCCTTTTCAACAGATAATTTTGAATAGCAGAAATAAGATATTTCTCTAAGGATTTTTGATTCAGTCATGAAAAGAAAAGGCTGATGAGGAAAATATTGAGTAATGTCCCTTTACTCTGCCCTTTATCCACTGGTGAGTGTACTATTCTATATGGACCTTGTAGTGATGACATCATGTGTAGACTCTGTGAATGTTAGGTTTGTTCCTGCAGGATGATGGCCAGAGTAGTTCTCCACCAGAAACCCTTTTCCTTTGTCAGGAGTAATGATAGTTCTGGGAGTGTACCTTGATGAACTCAGCAGAAATGATGCTGGGATGACTCAGTACTCCCAAAGATTCTGGAGCAGTTTTAAAATTCGAAAAACTGAAAGACAGAAAGTCTGTATTGTCCCAAATAAGGAAGACAGCATTTCAGTGACAGTTACAGAATCCAACCAATTATCCGCCAGTCATCATTAACTGAAACTGAATACTAAAGTGGTAGGGTCTCTGGGTCACCAGGATTTAACATTGGCTGGAGATGATGAAACAATGTATTTTTTATTTTTAGGGGTCCTGTCAAACCAGTTATGAGTGAATTTACATTTTGATGAGGAGATTAATGGGCCAAAACAGTGTTTAGACCTTTCATTTCCCCTGGGTGGGGCAGCAAGCCCTATAAAGAAGTTCCCTGATCCACAACTACAGCACTCCTGATACTCAGTTCCGATCTACGTTGGAGAACTTGGTGAGTCTGATTTCTTGAGTTTGTCTGTCTGTTGGCCTTCTTAGGTATTGAATTTAACCAGGACACAAGAAGTTTAGTGGGTTCAACTTATGATCATGAGATGGATGTTATTTACTTAAGCGAAACTTATGACTGATACAATCATACAATATATTGGTTTGCATTGGCTTTATTGGTAGATAGGTTGATGTTCACATGGAAAAACAAAGTGCCAAGGAAAGTTGGATTTGAATTAAAGAAAACAAAATTATTTTTCTTTCCAAATTTTCAGTGTCACTATAAAGATATCTTGTCTTAGCAGTTGGGAAATCCTTTAGTTCTTCCTTCTAATGGGACTTCATAACACTTTGAAACTTGTGACTGCCTTTCTTGAAGATGTTCTTTTCACTCAATTAATATTATCAGATTTTTTAGTAGAGATACTTTCTTTGGGAAAATGGCATGAGATAAAAGAAAATTTTTCATAAACCTGATAAAATAAACTGCTCTAGGAGAAGCCAGAAAACTGTAGAAAGGGATCTGAGACTCAAGAATGTTCTAAGAGAGAGCAATAATATGACATGATAGTACATAAGCTTTTTCAAATGTTTCTGGGGAAATCCCTAATTCTGAACATTGCCATATACTACTTTCAGATCCTGAGATACAAGAAAATGTCTTATCAACAGCAGCAGTGCAAGCAGCCTTGCCAGCCACCTCCTGTGGTCATAACTCCAAAGTGTCCTGAGCCATGCCCACCTCCAAAGTGTCCTGAGCCATGTCCACCTCCAAAGTGTCCTGAGCCATGCCTACCTCCAAAGTGTCCTGAGCCATGTCCACTTCCACAACCACAATGTCCTATGCAAACTCCCCTGCCCTGCCAACAGAAGTGCCCCCCACAAGAGTAACTACCAGCTTCAAGATTCATCTAGGTCATGAAAGGGGAAGAATAGGCTCTTCTATTTCTGTTGCAGCACCTTAGTATCCTCTTCAAAAACTATCATATATCCTGCAATCCTTTACCCTGTAATCTGCCTGGGAAGGTTCCTGGCAGCTCAACAATCCTTTGTATACTGTAAGTTCACAGCTGTGTCTGTATCACAGGCCTTTGGAAGGAAAAGTAGCAACTGTCTCCTTTGTCTCTAGCAGATGTTGTCCTGCATGTCAGTGTGGCATCTGGGCAGCAGTTTTTACCTGAAAAATTGTAACCTTTCTTTTACTTCTTAATAAAGTACATTTTTTGTTGAACGGTTGTGTATCTTTTTCTTTTAAAACTCTTATTAGAAATATGTAATTTTTGTTGATTTCCATATTTGCTTAATTTCTAGTTTAGATTCCTCCTGTGGTTTGAATTTGGGTTCATATCAAAAGTCGTACCCAAAGTATTTCAAGATTATATATTTTCTATAATGTTTGATTGTTTTGAGCAAACAATTTGTTAAATCTTCAGAGTTTCATTCTCTCAGTAACAATGCGGGAAAGGTATATTTGTAGCACAAACTTGCTTATGGTGTAAAATTGAATCGACATCTAATTTCCATAGAACAGTGCCCAACACCTTAGTAATACTCTGTACACATGGAAATGTATTACCAAGCAATCATCATTATTTTCATCAGCACCATTACCAACACTCCTGTATTTGCTTCAGTAAGAGTCTTCAGATAGCTAGTGTAATGACAAAAGGGTTTTCATTTTTTCACTTTAATTTATATTCCTTTCAAAGTTTTTGTATTCATATCTTTGAAATGCTAAGATTCGAACCCAGAGTTTTTACACTGAACTACACTTATAACCATTTTTAATATTTTTTAATTGTGAGGTATGTTCTCCCCAAGATTCCTAGGTTTTGCTCAAACCTGACATACTCCTGCTTCATCATCCCAGAATTATTGGGTTTTGTGCATGTAGCACCACATCAATTTAGGAAAAAACATTTTTATACTTTATTACATTTTAATTAGCTATTAACCTCACTTTTCTGATAGTACAGATCCTTTGCACTGTTGGTTGGGAATTGGTGGAATATGTTGTATAAAATTATGCTGGCCCTTAATAATGTAAGTAGTAAAGAAGAAAAAATAGAAAATGAAGAAAAAAGAAATTACATGATCTACCATTTCTATATGTATGTAATCTCCTTGCTCTAACAAACCACAAAGATTCAAGCTCTTCTCAAGTTCTTTTAAAATTTTTTCTATTCATACTTTTGCAAAACTAGGATTTAGGATCAGAGTTTTCACATTAAGCTATTCTTATATTCATTTTTAACTTTTTTTATTGTGAGACATGATCTCCCCAAGATTCCTAGGTTTTGCTCCTCCTATAGGATACAGAAGAAGCAAAGAAAGGTATCTAATGATAGGCTTTTGAGATCACACAAATTTTGTGGAGCTTCAGTGGATGTTGACCTTCTTGTTAGAAGGTCTTTGACTTTCTCAGAGTGTGGAAAAATTTATTCTATGGAAGTTATCAATGGAAGTTTCTTCCCAGATTTCCTGAAACTTGAGGAGGATCTTTTATAAATAGTACTATTCCAGCCATCTGATGTATACTTACATTAATGTGCTTCTCTCATCCTGCCCCCAAGTTGTCTCACACTCATCTCCAAAGAACTCATTAGCGATACCCTGTTCCCGTTACCTGTAGGCAGTTCTGTAGTAGGCACAGAACTGCCAATAATCATGCCAATAAAAATTAAGGCATTGCCCTGCCTGCAGAGTGCCCACTCAGAGGAAAATCAATTTCCTTTTAAGACCCAAGAGACAAGAACAGCAGCATTTCACAAATTTGAATAATGAGTGATGATTTTAAGTCAAAGTCTGTCATACAGGGCTGGCAAATGTGTCTGAATTTTGGGTGACAATCACAGCTAAGTTCAGTGTTGAACCACTTGAAGTTCGACTGAGCTTCCTAGATGATGATGTTTTGTATTGAAAAAGAATTCTTAAACTCTTAAGAGTTTTCTCCTTAAACTCTTTTTGTCAATGGTGTTGTTTCATGATAACTCATTTTATGAATCTGTTTTCCCCAGATTTGGGCTCTACTAAGTATTGAAAATACTAATCAGCCAGTATTATATGGTTGGCATGCCAGGGAAGCATTCGGTATTAGTTTAAATTACTGTTCTCCAATACATTTGTTGAGAGAACTGAAGCAAAATCCTTAACTCTGAAAAACTTCCTTATTTTCAAAAAATAAAATATCACATCTCAGATTGGCCCTGGGAGAGAGGTGAGTTGGTTCTCACTCTTTTCCATGATGAAATCTGAGGCTAGACATGGGGAGGAATGGCCAGGAAGAGGCAGGGGAAGACAGAATCTATTAGAGCTAATGGAAGAGCAGCACAAATGTCAGGTACCTCTGGCTACTTCTTAGAGATGGCATCTTGTGAGTTAGTTTTTCATTTTCCAACCAAATTCCCAAAAAAAGCAACTTAAAGGAGGAAAGATTTATTTTGTTTTGTAGTTTCAAAAGCTTCAGTCCATGGTGAGCTGGCTCTACTGTTCTTAGGCCTGTGACAAGGCATAAATATCATTGAAGGAGGATGTGGCTGATGAAAGCTGTTCCTCTCCTGGCAGGAGAAATGAGAGAGGGAAAGAGCAAAAGGGAAAGGGGCTGGTGACAGGATAAAGTTCTGAATGTCATTCTCCCAAGAACCAATCCTTTCAACTAAGCCCCATGTCCTAAATTTCTATTATGTCCCCAAAATGTAATCACATTGTAAATTAATGAGTGGATCATACCACTAATGAAGAGACAGCCCTCATGATTCAATTACCTTCTGAAAGCCTACTTCTGAACACATGAGATTCTGAGAAACATTACAGATCTAAACCATAGCAGACACCCTGGAGAGCTGTACTATTAGCCCGTGTTGCCTGCCTGGTCCCACTTAAGCCCTGGAACATTGCTGAGGCAGATTCCAATGCTTACAGAGTATATGTTAATATATATTAAATGATGTATGAAAAATTCCTCTTAAAAGTAAGTATAAATAGTAAAATAATTCAAATACTATACTAAAAAAAGACACCAAATAATCACTCTGGATGAAAGTAAGGATGGAATAAACTTCACTTTGGTTAACCAGTCTGGAGACAGTCTTGGACAGAGAAAAGAAAGGAGAAGTAGAGACAGCATCTGGAAAGGCAGAGATGAGATAAGCCACATTTCATGTTTTGAATCAAGCAAAAGGACAAAGGAGACTTTTAGAGCTTAACAAACATGAATTAAACTTTTCACATGATCTCAACCTAGAATTATTATCTACCAGCCACACTGCCAAAATTTAAGAAAAAAATTGGAAAAAAGGAACAGGTATCAATACGTCTTCTTGAATAACATGACCAATGATCACTAGTAACAACTGTAAAATACTGATTGATCAAGAAATTATGGCCAAAATTAGAGATATCTGATAAATGATGAATAGCAATGATCAAATGATGAATAAACCTGCCTAAAGTTTTAAAATGTATTCATGGGTTCTTCTGTAACAACAGCCCAGTATGTAATATACTAATTAAAATATCAGACATATTTATCCTTTGTTTGACTAAATAAAAAAGCTGTGTAGGAACTGGATCTTTCAGAAGTAAAGTAGGATATAAAATATATGTTTCTCTCAAAAGCTGAAGTACATAGAGGTTAACTAAATAGGAACAATTCTGGGAGGGAGGAAATGGTATGGCATATAAGAACTGTGAGCAAAACTTGATGTAGAGAACAAGACTTGGAAATCTAAAGCACTAAGTCACAGAATCCTGATGAGACCAAAGTAATCACAGCAATGCAGACTTTATTAAGATTCCAACCTCACACTCAGAGCTTGTGTGTTCTTCCTTTGGAGAAACACAGCATATGGAAATTGACCATGATCATCATTACTGGGTATTCATATGTCTCTAATTGCAAAAGAAAATTTAGATAGAGTGTGTTCATCACTACATAAACTCATTAGTGACTGTTGAAAGGAACTTTGATACTAAGGGAGTAGGCTGAGGAGGAAGATGCTTTATGATGAAACAAATGCTCATTTAATGAACTATAGAATCATTCTTTTAGTTTTTCAGTATTTTCTTTGACACACTTTTAACACTACTTTAATCTGCTCTTGTGTACTTCAGGACTGAATTTCAAACGGAGTTGTCCTGCAAGCCTATTATAGGCTATAGCCAAGCAAGTTCTACAACCCAAAGAAAAGTGCTGTCAGCCTCTACCAGCCTTCAGAACTATGAAATAAGAACAAGTGTTTCATCATAAAACATGGCATCTGAATCTTGCCACCAAGTTTGTGTGTTCTTACTCCTGCGCATTGGTACATGGCACAGTATATCATGTGATACCTGGCTCCTGTTCTGGAGTGATTAAACCACTCCTCTCTGAACAAGGACCACCCTCTGTTCCAGAATCATTTTTTGGAGGATGGGTTGCTACCGGGAATCGAACTCAGGATTTAGTGCTTGCCAGGCAGTTAGTGGGCCAGTGAGATAATTCCCCAGCTTCCTGTTCCAGGATCTTGAGTTCTCAAGGAAAGCAATAAGGCCAAATGCTATCATGTGTCTGTCTTCTGACTGTGAATTTGGCAGAAATTTCCATGATCTGGACAAAATGTTTTCTTTTAATGTCCTAAATAAATACATGTTTTATTGTGAAATGTATATTCATTTTGCCTCCCTTCATTGTTTTTCCATGGAAAAACACTGCTTTTGGAAATTGTACTCAATTATTGTTTCTGGTTTGTATGTAGTATGTAGCAATCTTTCACTTCTTTATATATTTGATTCACGATTTTTTTACCGTAAACTAAGAATTTTATGAACCTCGTTTAAGTGGAATATGCAAGAATGATGCACCATAGCATATCTTACCATACTTTTACCCACACCCACTGAGACATCTGGGC